ATTTATATTTTTCTTTTTTAAAGTGTCATTTACCGTTGAGTGTCAATTTGAAGCACGAATGGACTTGACAAGTTCTTTATTACTGAGACTCCCTCGAAACCTTTCGCAATGTTACTGATAGAGCTCTAGATTAGAATATAAAGTATTCCCAAACGTTAAAAGGAAAATCTCAAGCCTTCAATATGCTTGCTGAAAAACTTACAAGTCACCATGTACGTAGCCCCATATTCCCTCAGTAGAGCCAGAGGCGATAACAATCGATGAAGTCACCATTAGAAGAGGAAATCCTAAAAAATAGTGAATTACCTCCATGAATATTTTGCTATAAATATTCAGTGAAAATGAACAACTTGTGCATTTATTTCACCTTTGACATCAACGGACTACATTGTGCATGTGATAAGTTCATCGAACAATTAAGTTATTGCAAGCGAGATTTATGCATGTTAGGTATAACTTTCATTTAATTTAATTTTTCTGTTATTATGCATTTAGGATAACGTTACTGCTGTACTAGTGGTTTGGATACCTACCCCAGGAGAAAGCGTAGATTAACTTCATTCTTACAACGGCGTTGTATACTTTAACCACCATGAGATACAAGTAGGCTCCCTCCATAAGCATCCAAGAAAATCCGGCCAGATAGAAATAATGAATAGACACTGCCACAAAAATACAAGCTTCCTGTAAAACAAGAAAAGAAATTAGTTCAGCAATAATGTAAAATTTTAATCGTTGATTTGTCTCCTCATATACTAAAGATTCATTGGGCATATATCTACATAGCTTCTCAACCTTTCTGGTGAAATTATCACGGTTGATTCTGATAACATTTACAAAACGTCTTTCAATTCTATAATAAAAATAAAAACAACTATAATAAAGGTTTATGTGATTAACCAGATAGGTTTTCAGTTACCTGTTTTGACGTGGCATCAATTCCAGCTAGAAAAAAAATTTGCGCCACTGCTATGGCCACAACAAGGTTGAATCGTATCTGAATCTGCTCTTGTTTTAGATTCCTTACCAAAGAAAACAGAAAATCACAAATTTTAAAATCGATCTTTTAAATCTCTATTATCATCAGTTGGTGAAGCACTTCTCAGTGAAAGAGTTTGTACTTACATTAAAACCAGGTAAGCTAAGATGGTGAGGGTCTCACCCAGAAGCGACAGTACACAGCCAACAAAAGTAACGATTTCCAAAGCTAACTGATGCCTTGCAGGAATCTAAAACAACAAAAAGGCCGAGTCCTTCAGACTTAAAACTTGGATTCGATCAAAACCTTTTCAGTTATAAAACGAAATGCACAAAAATGGTAACTGATTTACTGTCTTGCGAATGAAAGTTGATGTGATGGTAGAATAACTATGCTTTACTTTGCTACTCACTTGGGTTTCTCCAAGTTGCAAAAGAACTGCGAAGTTGGTTAGATGATTGCAGTTGCACATAACTTTGGTGTCGGTTCTTTTCATCAGGAAACATCCTCTGCTTGACCAGGAGCCATTAACCCGTGTCCTATGTTTAGGAAGTACTTTTTGCTGAGTTGTTGCGACATTATCAGTGCGAATCGTTGTTTTCAGAAAAACAAATTTCAAGCAATATAATTTTTGAAATGAATTAACACTCATGAAAAGAAAACATACCTGATGTTAAAGTCCCAAGATACACAGTAAGGCTTATCCTCGGGTTTTATAGGCTTTAAAGACAGAGAAGAAACAAAACAAAAATAACTGTTTTATAGATATTTTGATGTCTGCGTGAACTTCATTCTAACATTTAAAAGTCTCTAAATTACGTATTGGAGACATGGGCTCAGGCACTCGGCAGTATTTCCATATATAATGCTTCATGGTGCTCCTCCATCAATTTACCAGAAGGGTCATTTCAGAAGGAACTTTTCTCGTTTAGTAATAGTTTGATGAGAAATTCCTTTCAATACTGTATAGGAATGGTGACAATTGGAAAAAAAACACTACGAAGAGTGTAACATGAAGATCGTTTTTTTAAGAGTTTGTGCTGGTATGAGACATGTGCAGACCTACATCTTGTAGAGTAAATGAAATAGTTATGTTCTCTGCCAGCACTGATGATGGGGCCGGTGAGAGAGAACACGCTATGATTGGTGTATGGAGTTTAGTATTTTTTATTTTCTTTCTGCAAGGTAAATTTTTTCTTCCGTAAAATTAATAATTCTTAAACATTTATTATTCCTCTCAACTAAATATAGTCTAACAGAAGAGTAAGAAAAAGTGGGGGTATGGGTAATTGTATAAGCTTCTGTCGAATCCAAAATACATACCCATCAAGAAGGTATTGACATTCATCTGGAAGAAGCTCGTGCAGGTCTTGGTAAGCTATTCCAAGTACCGCAGTTTCTATGAGGAAAAATATATTTAAATTGGACAGGACTGTTAATGACATGACAAAAAAATTCTCGAGTTAAATTGGGAACTTTTCTGAGGGAGGGAATGTACTGCACGCTCACACTCTATCAACCCTCCATTACTCCCAAAATTTTATTCGTGGGCAAATTGTCGTACTCACATTTATATCCTTGAAGCCTGAAAGCAACTCACTCATATGGATCAAAGAATATGTATAACTAGAGAATATTTAAAAAGATGTCCTGAGCAGATCCAACATAGGCAATAAATTACAACGAAGAACGAACGATTGAGAATTTTTCAGCTGGTTAAAGTTCATGACAAACAAATACATCTGAGCCTTTACTTTCTATGTGCTTACCCTGTTTCTCAAAGAGTTTTGGTGGTAAAATGATCCTTTCACGTAACAAATTATGATCATCAAATGATTGGCCTTGGAAAACATCAGAAGGAACCGCCACGTCCTTTCTATAACCTGATTTAATAGTTTGAATTTCCACGACTATCAATAGAAAATGAAATATATTAAAGCCGCCTACTCCTAAGTTTTTATTATGGCAAAGGAAGTAACAAAGTAGTTTCAACTTGTAACGAAATTTATGTCAGGGTAGAAAGCAAAACTCGATCAATTATTGCTTTCTTACGGCTTCATTTTCATGTTTCCTACAGAATCCTCCTTGGCACAGAAAGAAAATGGATCAAAACTTTTTGACAATTGCGGCTAGAAATCCGTCGAGGTTTGGATCTACTCGCAATCCTATTTTCCTCTCTATGAGCAATCCTTTCATCTAATCATATTTTAATCATGACCTATAATATGTTGTTTAAATTTGTTACAATTGAGAGGTATAAAGGCACTACTCACCGAGGTGTCTTTCAGTGGGTACTCTGGTTGAGCTATAATTACCATTTGCCAACAGATGCTTCTTGGCATAATCCGAGACAAAAATTTCAAGGTGCTGAGCCGCTACCAACAAATTCACTCCTACGACTAAATCTCCTTCCTTAGCGATTTTTTGGAAAGCTGTAAGTAAATGCTCTGTCTCGTTCACTACAGCCTAAAGATGGTAATGCATTGCAGTTATCAAAAAGTAATCCCAACAGTAATCAAAATATGGATGATAACAACTGAGGGGAAAATCAGTACACAGTTTATAAAGGATAATGAGACATCGGCCTACCTGAAGAGAATTCTTGTCACTAACATTTAACTGATTCACCTCATCGAAATATGTTTCAACCATCTAAAGGAAACAAAATTAAATTCCATACTTACGAAACCTAATTTCACTTTTTGTAGAGCCTCGACCAAGAGTGGTGTTCCAGAAGTGTTTATCGACGTGTGAGTTTAAGGTGTCCTTGTTTTGTATGTTGACGAGATCTAATTTTATTTAAGCTTCAGAACCGAAGACAAAAATGCTGTAGTGGATTCTGTTAATACCATACTGTTCGATAATGGTACAGATTGTACTTTTCATAAATGCAAAAGTGTTGTTAGACGAAGGAGAAGTAGCACTGAGAGCAAAAGTCAGGTCGATCAAGGGTTTATTCACTGAAGGAAACGAAAGAAAGTCGCTCAGTAAAGTATCTCAGACGTGAATTTCCTCTTAAAATACTAGTGATATGAAAGAAAAAGTCAAAGTTTTTAAGTGATGTTTAATCCCCATTAAAGCAAATAGAGAACATACAAAGTTTAAAGGCTTAGTCTTTATGATGAAAATGGGATTATTTAACAGGAGAAGTGGAAATATTCGAGGTTTATGAAATATATCACTTATATTTAACGTTGTATTATTAGCCTTCTTCAGAAAATATTTGACTCCCAGCAAAGTGCTTAGCGGCATATGCATGTGATCGGTTCATATAAGCTAAGTATTAAACTCCTCGGTTTATATCGTTTTTCTATGTCTTCATACAAATTTAATCATCTAGGAGAAAGCGGACGTCGTGACTGAGGCACCTCTAAACTTGATTGAACAAAACTGACCGTCTGCAGCTGCTTGTCTCACTCACCTCGAGATCCTTCACAGATATAGCCGTGCTCTTCACTGCAGTTTGTTGTGCACTCTAGTTGAGGATCATCAGTTACCATGCAGCAGAAAATCCTTTCAATTTCTAAAATACTCTGGTTTTTTATGGCATCTAAGTCTTTTACCAGATAATTTGGATTAATATCATCGGCAAACCCATCACCCTTCCATTTCCAATTGTTAACGCTGAAACGAACGTACCCGAAAACGTTAGCAGCAGTAACAAAATAACAAATGGAAATAACAAATGGAATACCTAATTGTAGTGTCCAGGCCTCCAAGTTCACGCCTAAGGCCCCAGGAGACATTTGCTCGAGTATTTATTATGCACGGTAAAGTGAGAACGGAGGTGATACAATCTAGGATAACGAACAACTAAAGGAGCTGTAAGCGAACTGTATAAGTTAACTCCAGAACGTTAAAATGGCGACGAGGATCATCTCATAAGCGTTCGATAGAATTGTTTCGATCGAGAAACCTCTGCGAATGGCCCCATATGATACAAATCTCAACTTCGGACCGTTTGACCCGGACCTAGATCCGACATCGGTCGGCACTCGATTCAGGAAATATCTCGAAAGATTCAAAGTATACGCTGCAGCGATGAATATAAAGGACAAAGCGAGAAAACGAGCACTACTCCTACACTGTGCTGGTCCCAAAGTACAGGACATCTT